CCCTTCCTCTCTCTGAAATCAATAAAGATATAAAAAGAAAAAAAAATTAAAAATGTGTTTTTAAAATGTTAACAAGCCCTGGCTGGTGTGGCTCAGTGGTTAGAGTGTCAGTAGGTTTGATTCCCAGTAAAGGGCAGGTACCTGAGTTGCAGGCTGGGGAACGTGTGGGAGGCAACCATTCAGTGTGTCTCATCAATGTTTCTTTCTCCCCCCCTCCACTCCATCTAAAAGCAATGGAAAAATATCCTCAGGTGAGCGTAAGAAAATGGAACCCTTTTGCACTGTTGGTGGGACTGTAAATTGGTGCAGCCACTATAGCAAACAGTATGAGGGTTCCTCAAAAAATTAAAATTAGAACTACCATTTGAACCAGCAATTCAACTTTTGGGTATTTATCCAAAAAATACTAATTCAAAAAGATATTTGCACCCCTACATTAACTGAAGTATTATGTACAATAAAATATGTGATACAGCCTGGCTGACATGGCTCATTGGTCGAGCATCGACCTATGATCCAGGAGGTCACGGTTTAATGCCCGGGTTTTGGGCTCGATTCCCAGCAGGGGCGTACAGGAGGCAGCCAATCAATGACTCTCATCACTGATGTTTCTATGTCTCTCTCCCTCTCCCTTCCTCTCTCTGAAATCAATAAAAATATATTTTAAAAAAATATGTGATACATATATACATACACGCACACATAAAATAGAATATTAATCAGCTATAACAATAATAAAATCTTGCCAGTAGCATAAACATGGATGGAGATGGAGTTTTTACGCTAAGTGAAAAAGTCATACCAAAAAAGACAAATACCATATAATTATACTTATATGTGGAATCTAAAAACACAAACAAAACAAAACAGAAACAGACTCACAGAACAGAGAACAAACTGATAGTTGACCCCCAAATAGAGTTTTTGCAGGATAGGTGAAAAAGATAAAGGGAAATAAGAGGTCCAGACTTCCAGTTATATAATAAGTCATCGGGATGTAACTTACAGCATAGGGAAAATAGTCAATAATATTGTAATAAGTTTGTATGGTGTCAGTTAGTTATTATACTTATTTTCGCTATCACATTGTAAAATATATAAATGTAAAAATCACTATGCTGTACACCTGAAACTAATATAATGCTGTATGTCAACTATACTTTAATTAAAAAATAAACATTTTTTTAAAACTGAGAAATACCTGCTCTTTAATGAGTGACCGATCATCTGATGGGCTCACCTCACTCATGGGGTATAATCACCCTAGTACTCCCTCGGCCAAAGACTAACCCAAATGTTAAGGAACCCAGCCTGAGTCACAGCTTCATTCTAAACACACAGGCTCCAACCAAAACAGTGACCCAAAACCACTGTAACGAGAGCTCCATTCCCAAACTCCTGCTCCCAAACAACATGGAATGACTAAAACTGCCAACCTAGAGTCCTCTGCACGGAACCCAGGCTCTGTGAGGTCAACAATGCAACACAGGGCAGCTCAGCTCAAGGGAGGGGCTCCCCAGCAAGCAGCCACTCGTAGAGCAGGAGCCTGCAGATATCAGCCTGACAGATGAGAAGCACTAGGGGAGAGGGGAGAGGTGAGGCTTAATTTCCAGTAGTCAAACATCAAACACATGGAGCCTGACCACTAAGTCAAGAGCAAACACAAGAAAAATAGGCATTAGTACTGGCTTGTTTTTTTTATAAACACTAATATAGGTAATACAGAAGTGATTAAACTATTGTGTTGTGGATGGCTAAACTTAGAGCACTGGAGTAGACCGTGATATGCAGTCAGGAAGTCTTAAGTTGGATATCTATCTTAGAAACTTAATCAACCTTCCAATGCACTACTTATTTAAAATAGAAAATTTTACATATATACATATAATATTCCTATGCGTAATCATTATTTTAAATTAACTTTTACTTTTAAAAATTAATTTCATTTTAACTTTTCTATACAGAACACCACTCTAAGATATAATCCTTTAAACACTAAAAAATATAAAATTGCGGACCATCAAAAATTCCCAAATTCCTTTCTGATAAAAAGGACAAGGGACATTATTAACAGTTTGTCACTGTATTTCACACTTGGAATATTTTCAAGATTGAATAGCATATTATAGTGCATTACAGGGGTTGCAATAAAGCCCTGAAATGAACTAGAAAATTCAGAGATCCATAAGTTTTTAGTTGTTTTACTTACATCAATGAAAATAAAAATTCAACTGCTTTCCCCTCACATCCATTAAAATAGAAATTCTTGGTAATAGTATAGACTTTTAAATGTCAAAGTTCTCTAGAGTCATGAACATACAAAAACTGAGCTATAAATGGAAAAAACACCCATCTCCCATTTTCAGAGTCTCTTCCATAATAAAACCAAAATTATCTTTGGTTCCACAGTTATCTTGCCTTATATGTATGGTATCTTTCAATCAACTTATATATTAAAAGCACAAGTGTTAATGAAAGCTAGATTCAAAGAGCTGCAACGTTCAATGGAGAAAGGAATCCAATGAAAGTAATGGGCAATACTGCAATCAAGAAAGATAAGCAGCCTGTGTCCCTACAGTGCAGAAGGAAACCCACACTCAGAAAGTTGAATGTTTCCACTAAGGGTCTAGACACCCCCTGCTGAGATAAAACCCCTGGAATGGGTCAGTCCCTGCAGAAGGGCCACAGGTGACACCTGAACAGCCCCAGGGGTGAACTCTGGGAGCTCCACACACCCTACTCTCCTGTAAGCATGGAAATGCTCCTCCCCCAGGCTTCCATTCTCTTAGCCTGATTTAGTTTAAGTTCTGATCCAAATGAACTACCCAATTCATAAACCTTTTGTCCATGAAACAAAACACCTGATCTTCACGGACTTTCTCAACATATATAAATTATACTCTCAATGCAAACCTCAACATAAAATCTAGAAATGCCTAGGCCTAAGGATCCACAACCACAACCACAGAAAGGGCATCGGCACCCACCTCCACCCAAGGTCCTGCATTGCATCCCCACCCTCAGGGCCAGGTAGCTTTTCCCCGGAATCTACAGGAACAATTCTGCTCTGCAAGGCTAAACCCTGGAGTTGTATTTTAAAACACCCAGGACAAACCTCAGGAACGAACTACATATGCTCAGGAAGAGTGAAAGAAAAATTCTAGAAATGTAATGTGATACTGGAATATTTTATTTTTTCTGAATTCTCTTTTTGCATTTGGAACTCTTATATATCGTTTTTGAAGTTCTATTGCTTAAATACATTTTACCCCTATTAAAAACTGAGACTTAAATGAGTCAATAAATGTTTTCAAGGAGACAAACGCAGGGAAGGGGCAGTGCTGACAAGAGAGATCACCCAGGAAAGCTTCCGAAGAGGAACCTCCACCCAAAGGACGTCCCATAGGAAGTGGGTGCCCAGGGAAGGTCCTGGGGAGAGGAACAGGGGCTTCATTTCCTACGTCGTCCAGGTGGGTACTCTCGGCTTTCCTCTCACGCAAAATATCCAGACAAACATAAATCTCTTAAAAAAGAGCAATTTCATCATTATTCCGTAAAAAAAATAAAAAAATAAACAAAATATTGAGTCTGTTTGAAACACATCCTGGAGGACAAGTAGTTGATAATGACGCTGTAACCTAGAGCGGGAAAGTTGGCTTTGGGAGTTCGAGGGCTGATCTGGAAATTTAGGGGTTTCCTGCCAGTTTTAGTGAGGGCCAGTCTGGGGGCACGGGTCCGGGAGCTGAGACCCTGCTTCCCTAACATTTAGAAAACTCATAAAAGACGGTGCACGCTGAGGAGAAAGGAGGGCCTGGGGACCCACAGACCACGCCCGGCCCCTGCACACGCCCCGCAGCCCGAGTCACGATTGTCCCTGACGCCCCACCCGTGCGCACCGCACCACCTGCGAGGACGCGGGGCTGCGGGCGCAGAGCCGCCCACGGAGCCTGCGGCCGAAGTCCCCGCGCAGCCACGGGACGGCGCTCCGGGGCCCGGGTCAGGCCCAGCCCCCCGCTGAGGGGACCGGGGTTCCAGGGGAGCCCCGAGCGGACTCTGTCCGCAGACTCAGACTTGGCCAAGGGGAGGCCGGTCCTACCACAGCCGGCTGCAGCCGGTTCCAGCCAGTTCCAACCAGTCCCTCCTCCCTGTCTTCGCATCCGGCCCGAACACTCACCATTTCTAGGTTTCCTAGGTTTCCCAGAGTCCCGCCTAAACTTCCACTACGCGCGCATCTAGATCACGGCGCCCGCAGCCTACGACTGAGCCGCCAGGGACCGTTACGTACGGGCGACGCGCGCTCGGGCCAGGCTGCCAAGCGGCGAGACCCCGCCCGCGCGGAGCCTCACCCCACCCACCTGCCCCAGCGCGGCCCTGATTGGACAGTAGCTGATCCCCCGCCTGAGTGACAGCCCTCCTCGGGACCCCAGGCTCGGGCTCCAAGCGGAACTTTCCCCCGGCCTGGGCCTGACTGTACTGTATCTGCCCAGCTCCTCGTGCGCACGTGGGCGCAGCTGTGCACAGGCAGCTCCTGGTTCAGTTTCCAAACGGTGCAAGTGAGCACGGAGCACGAGGGTGACCCAGGCCAGGCCGCACTGGAACGAGAGGGTTCATGCTCTCTACAGGACATTGGCTTGGTGCAAGGCTGTCAGGCCACTCGTGGCACTGAGACTCTTTAGAAACACGACACCTAATGGGATCTCACCATCTGAAATAACGAGTCTGGCTCCATTTCAACCTTAGATACTTTCCAACAATTCCTTCCTTACACCCCGTCATTCTGTCCTTAAGAGAAAGAATCTCAGAGCACTTGACTCTGGTGGGAAGTTGGGGCCCTGTAGCCCTTGCCTGGGCACAAGGACTCTTCTCAGTCTAACTACAGGGTGTGAAATGTGTTCATTAAATTCTTAGACGTATATTTTACACTAGAAAGAAATTTAATTTTTGCCTATGTCCCTGGAAAACTCTGAAATGTAAATGACTATAATATCCCTAAGACAATTGATTTCCATTTTCACTGATATAAGAAAAACAGTAAATCATTATGTAACTTGGGATACATCTGGAAACTCTCCCCTCTCCCCAGCTTTATTGAGGTAGAATTGACAAAGTTTCCCAGAAGGTGGCGTAAATTCTTAATTTCTGACTCCAGCAAATGAAGATCCCTACACAAACCAAAAAAACCCTTCTAGTTTGTGCTATTATTGCAAAAAGCCAGGACATTGGAAAAGAGGTTGTCGCGAATGTAAGCGCTGCAGGCACCTTCAGCTTTCTTACCAGCCTTTCCAATGTTCTTTTAATTCCTAATGATGGAACCCTGAGGAACTACAGGGCCCTTCCCAATCCTCCCTCTTAATTGCCTCGAAGACACAACTCTCCAGATAGGGCATGAGCCTCTCTCTGTCCTTATTGACACCGGAGCTACACTCTCTTTGCTCAACTCCACTACTGTCAAGCAGCTCCTTCCTCGGAGTACTAAAACAATTCAAATAGTTGGGTCTCTGGCAAACCTCAGCAGGTTCCTGTCTCTCAACCTATTTCTTTTTGTTTAGGCCCTTTGAGAGATACCCACCCTTTTCTCTTTAGTTTTTCTGTCCCTATGAATTTATTAGGCTGAGACTTCTCAGAAGAGTATCATGTTGGAATTTCTTTCCCCCAAAATGGGGAAATAATTCTAGAATTTGACAGCAGCCGTCAAAATAGCCAGTTAGGTGGATTAAATTGACTCTTCAGCATCTTTTTTTATTTATTGTTCAAAATATTACAGATGTCCCCTTTTTTCCCCATTGACCCCCTTCCACCCAGCACCCACTCCCCACCCCAGGCCTCCATCACACTATTGTCTGTGTTCACAGGTTGGGCATATATGCATATAAATTCTTTGGTTAATCTCTCCCCACCTACCTACCCACTCCCACCTTCCCTCTGAGATCCCTCAGTCTGTTCCATGCTCTTATATCACTGAATCTATTTTGTTCATGAGATTATTATGTTCTTTAGATTCCACATACAAGTAAGATCATGTGATACTTTGGCTTTTTTTCCTTAGCATAATTTTCTCCAGGTCCATCCATACTGTCCCAAAGGGTAAGAGATCCTTCTTTTTTACAGCTGCGTAGTATTCCATAGTGTAAATGTCCCACAGCTTTTTTTCTCCACTCATCTACTGATGGGCACTTGGGCTGCTTCCAGATCTTAGCTATTGTAAATTATGCTGCTAACATCTTTTATTTGCTCCACTTCCGACAGCACCGTAGCTCAATCAGTGATCACCGAGCACTGATCATTTTTGTCTGTATTGGATCACCAGCCATTCTCTTTTTGGGAAGAATCTTCAACTGTTATTGGCAAAATCCACAGTGCACCTCCTATCAAAATTCAAACAGAATCCTCAAAATCCCTTCCCAGAATCAATCAATGCCTCCTAAATAAAGAAGACCTTCAAGGTATAAAGCCCATAATAGATGACATATCTCAGGGTCACACTATCCTTTGCACTAGACCCTGTAACATTCCCATTTTACCTGTGAGAAAACCCCACGGGTGAGGATGGAGGTTTTCCAGGACCTCTGAGCAATAAAGAACACTGTTATCCCTTGACACCCTGTAGTTCCTAATCCTCATATACTACTAGCATCCATCCCAAGTGGAAGGAAATTCTTTACTGTAATTGATTTGCATAGTGCATTCTTTCATATCCAGTTGATGAAACTAGCCAATTTCTTTTTGCCTTCCCTTGGGAAGAAAAACAATTCACCTAAAGAGAAATGGCTCAGGATTTTCCTGAGAGTCGTTTTTATTTCTCACAAATCCTGAAGGGAGATCTGGGTAATATAAAGTTCCCTGGGAATTCTACTTTTTCTGCAGTATGTGGACAACTTTCTTCTTTGTTCTTCCTACCGAGTCTTCTCACAGGAAGACAGCATCTACCTATTAAAACTTTAGGTCTTAAAAGGATATAAAGTCTCCAAAGAAAAATTGTAGTTTTCCCAAACCCAGGTTTGATATTTAGGGCATCTAATATCATAGCCAAGGCTGCACCTAGATCCAGACAGGCTCCAGTGTCCTAAATTCCCCCAAACCAAAAACTAAGTGTCAACTGCAAGGTTTTCTCGGGCTAGTTGGTTATTGCCCAAATTGAATCCCAAATCTCTCTCTTCCAGCAAAACCTCTGTATGCTTTACTGAAGGGCAATCCCGACTTAATTTTGTGGAAGAGCAGGGCGACATAGCCTTTAAAGCCTTTCAGGACAGTTCAATGAACCTGCCTGTCTGTGGGCATCCCTACTATCAGGTCCCCCTTTTCCTTTCTGTGTATGAGGAAGAAGGGAAAGTCCCTGGGGTATGCACCCAAAAACATGAGGACCACCATTGCAGTATGGGGATCCCCCTGACTTAGAGCCATCACTGCTCCTGCTCTTTTGGTTAAAGCCACTGAGGAAATCACTGAAGGATCCCCTCCCTTTAAACATCTTTGCACCCCATACAGTAGGCGATCTCCTGAATTCTCATCAGACACAACATTTTACAGTCACCTCACCTCCTAGGAAATTCTTTTAACTGCTTCTTACAGAACTCAGGATAATAACATTATCCCTGCTAACTTTTCTCCCCTCCATTAGCCATGAAGCCCCTCACAAGTGCTTAACACTGCTGATCACCTCCTGAGCCCTTGTAATAATCTGCAGGAAACTCCTCTGGTTAAGCAGATTCCTCATGGTTCACTGATGGTTCTTGTTTAAAAGGTGACAATGGCAAGGTTGTGCTGGATATATAATATCAACATCCTCTGATGTAATTGAAGGGGCATCTTTGCCTTTGGCTACTATATAGCCCACAAGTTGAATTACATGCCCTTGCACAAGCCTGCGTCCTAGCCAAGGGCAAGGCTGCCAACATTTGTACTGATAGTAGAAGTGCTTGAGGAGTAGCTCATGACTTTGGAATGTTGTGGAAGCAACATGGCTTCCTTACTTCCACCAGGAATAAATTTAAAATGGTCCGTATGTTCGGGAATTATTGGATGCTGTATCTTCACCTGCTGCTTTAGTTGTTATTAAGGTCCCAGGGCATTCTAAACTTGACTCTGGAAGCTAAGGGAAACCATCCTGCTGACATTTCCACAAGGAAAGCTGCCCTTAAAGGAACCAACAGCAGTCAAACCTCTGTTACGGTCCAAAAAGATATTTCCCCAACTGATAATTTAGAAAAACTGGCTAGAGAAACCCAACAATTAGCCTTAGAAAGGGAAAAGCAAGATTGGAAAACTAAGAATTGTTGATTTGACACAAAGAGAAAGCTCCGATTCAGGCCATATAACAACCCAGTCCTATTAGAGATGCTCAGGTTTCCACTCCTAACTACTGTATTGCATTAAACCACTGATCCACTGACAAAATGAGAGCATTCATGAATCAGCTTAGGTGGAAAATAGTAATAAGGCCATAAAAATCAGTACTTCACTTGTCCCACTTGTCCAAAATACAACCCAGAGAGGCCTGTTCACACTACTCCCAGACAGTTTATTTTTACTTCTTTTATTTTTACTCCTTTTTTTGTTAATTCTCACCCAAGGATATTTTTTTCTTTGATTTTTAGAGAGAGTGAAGGGATGGAGGGAGGGAAAGAGAGAGAGAGAGAAACATCAATGTGGTCAATTGGTTGCCTCCCTTATGCGCCCTTGACCAGGAACCAAACCCAAGACCCTTCAGTGCAGGGGCTGAAGCTCTAAGCACTGGGCAACACCATCCAGGGCAGCTCCCAGACATTTTAAATTATGTAATGGACCATTGGATGTTTGGCAAGTGGATTTTATACAGCTTCCCCTGTCTCATGGATATAAATATGTTTTAGTCATGATCTGTATGTGTTCTCACTGGACTGACACTTTCCCTTGTAGACAGGCTACTGTGACTTTGGTGGTGAAAGTCCTTTTGGAAATCATTATGCCTACCTGGAGAATCTCTCTCAAACTCCATAGGGATCAGAAGCCCATTTTACATGTCAGGTGATTTGTTTGGCTGGTCTTACAACACTTTTACTGTACTTACCACTCTCAATCCTCAGATTTAGTCAAATACACTAATAGCATTATTAAGACTCAACTGGCAAAAGTTATAGGAAACCTCCAGATACCCTGGCCAAAAGCAATGTCACTAGTCTTTCTAATCTTAGGTCTACCCCTTAGGGACTCATAAACTCTCAACTTTTAAGATAATTACAGGACGTCCCATGCACTTGGCTCCTGCTTCT